GCTTCCTGGTATATTGTGCTTCTGTACAATAAGATTGTACAATATTATTAGACCTTAGTATTCTTATAATTAATAATAAATTGTTAATATCTGACATGCTAATATTTGGATTGCCAGCTGATTCTACATACATACCCATGCACACTTTGAAGGACATTTTCTACTTGAATATGAAGTGTTGCATAGCACAATTATGAAGTCTCAGACCTTGCTACAGTTATTTTCATATAGAGGCAAAGGAAGGAAGGGCAGTTGAATAATGTCTTGGGCTTTCTGATATTAGAATGAGTAGCTGGCCTATACTTTTATCAGCTGTACAAATGTCTCATTCTTCTGTTAGAATATGTTCAGGCAGGTTTATATAGAATGAGATATTAAAATTTATCTATTTTGTGTGAGAGAGGTTGTAGGAAAGCAAAGATGAGATGTTTGAAAATTTATCTCAGAAGAAGCATATCAGTCCGGCTGCTGAGCAAAAGTACTTCAAGAAGAGTCCACCTTAGTTACCCCACCAAGACTGAGAATTCCCTCTTAGAGTTTTTACTATTTCTATATTTACCCCAGACTAGCACTAATGATATTGTACCTTCCTGAACGCCATGTTGTTCTTGTTTCTTTGGTCTTGCCAACTACATGGGATTGGGCAGTGTGGGCCTGAAATATTGTAGTATGCTTGCTACTGGGCTACTACATGCAATATAAAGCCTTTCCTCACATAATAGTGTCTAAGATATGCATTAGTAGTGCATATATTAAAATAAAATTATACAATCAATGCTTAATACAATATCCAAAGTAAGAGGTTAGCTTTGGCAACGAGTCATGCTAGCAAGTCTGAAATATTGTACAATATTTATTTTGGTTTCGGTTCTAAAATACGTGATCCTACTATTCCTGCTACTTGCGCCTGTCAAAAAATTAAGCTGATGCATTATCAGTGATCTCTTTTAAATTAAACAAAATCTTGAATAATTAAAATTGCCTTGAAATCGTGAATTATAAACTCAAAAGAACCATGGTATCTTTGTATCTCAGAATTTTGAATTCAAATCAGAACTTGACTCCTTTGTATAGCCCAATTAAACGAGCCTCTTATCTATTTGCCACCAACTATTATAGAGCAGACACGAGTGTTCTTCCTATTTGTATCAGAAAATCACTTATCATTATACTAAGCTCAATTCACTGGATCAGAGCTTCAAGAAAGCAGATATATTTTGCATCCATTTAAGCGTCTAATGCCCTGATAAAAAGAACTGAAGACTAAGCATGGACACAAATAACAAGTGATTACATCTCAATAATGTTATATGATTTATGCAAGTGCCAAAATAATGTCACCATCTGAATAACAAACTCATGTCTAAATATATTCTTATAAGCAAGTATGTAAGCAGTTGTTTGCACACTGTTTCTAATGGTAGTTATTAAATAAATGTATATTTCATTTTTCTCTTTCCTTTCTCTGAAATGAAGAACATATTCCTTCTTCCTGTTATCTTGACAAAATCCCTGTGGAGATGTTAGGCTAAGAGATTATGATTGTCTTACGGTCACCTGGTGAGCTTCATACCTGAGCAGATAATTGAATTGTTTTCTCCTACTCTTAGTCTGACATTCTAGGCACTAGACCATGATGGGAAGCCTGTGGTTGTTCAGCTATTGCTAAATTACAGTTCCCAGCAACCCTCATCATAGACTGTACTGACTGGGGCTGCTAAAATCCCAATTTCAAACATCTGCAGGCTCACAGGTTTCCTAGCATTGTATGGGAACATATTTGTAAATGCTTAAAAGAGTTCTTACATCTAAAAGCAACATTTTGCCAACAAAGCAAATAGTGTCCATGTACTTAATTATAAATTATTGCATATTAACATTTTGTTGTTATCTGTTCTGGAAAATGGGAGTTATACAGAATGGCAGTGCAATTCTGGACCTGATTCCATTCAAGCTACAAGATTCTCTGTGTATTTTCTCAAGAAAACACTAAGAGTCTTAGTCTCCTCTTTCTTCAGATATTACCCAGTTATCTATAAAATGCTTGCACATTCTCTCTTTCTGTGTGATTCAGAGGTGGTATTCAGCAGGTTCTGACCAGTTCTGGAGAACCGGTAGCGGAAATTTTGAGTAGTTTGGAGAACCGGCAAATACCACCTCTGACTGGAGTATTTACAGTATCTTTTCCCTGCCACACCCACCAAGCCACGCTCACAGTAAAAAAAAATTGAATCCCACCACTGGTGTGATAGTGTATTCAATTTGAACTTTGGTATAAAAGGACAGGACAAAAGAGCTGCTGCAGATGTTTCCATGCAGATACTGTGCTACTTTTAAAACATAATAAGCTGAAATACAGTATATCAGAATTTTCTTGTGCTATACCATGAGATACCATATACCATTTATGTTTTCTTTTATCACACCTTTCCTTAGTGCAGCGTATAAACTTCTTCACTCCATCACTGCCTTTTTCTTCATAACTTTTGTGAGATAGATTTTGTCCAGACACCAAAGTCGTCCTCAGTGTTTTATGTTTGAATAGCGATATGATCTGAATTTTAATGTTAATTCTTCAACTATAACATTCTACTGGTTCTTTTACTTGTTTCATTATACAGTATTTGAAAATGTATACCCTCTCTTGGAAAATAAGTGGATTAGGAAAAAATATAAGAAGGTAATTTCATTCAGCCTTTCTATCTTTCTGATCAACAATTGAACATTTTGGTCCTAGCCTCTGGCTTATTACTCTAATGCAGGGGTGTCAAACTCAATTTCATTGAGGGCTGCATCAGGGTTGTATTTCAATCTTGGGGAACCAGGTGAGTGTGGCCAGGATGGGCATGGCCAGCTCAACATCACTCGTGTCGGGGGCCTCTCTTGTGGCCCGAGCACCCTGCTAGCGAAAACGGGCTCCCGAGCTCCATTTTCAGCTGTGACGGCTTCCTGCAACCTTCTGCCAACGAGAACAGAGATTGGGAGGACCGCCCACGGTTCTCCTGAGCTTCATTTTCACTGGCAGAGGCACCATGGGCCCTATTTCCAGGATGGCACCGCGGGCCAGATTGAAGCAACCTGTGGGCTGAATCAGGCCCCCCAGGTCTTGAGTTTGACATCAGCATCCTGTAAACAAAGACATTTTCAGTGCATATGTCTGTAGTGAGAAAACATGTATACATACAGCTATATCCAGAGAGGCTTTATTACTGCAGATGCATATGTATCTGTAAAAGGGTGACTTCTAAATGGATGCAGCAGTGGGTTGGTACCAACCTGAATGTTTGTGAATTAATGTGAAGAATGTGGCGTGACTGCAAGAAGCCAATGCCATTGTAAAGTTATTGAGGGACAGGGAGTTGTCTTCAGTGCTTACATGTTGAGCTTTCCATGTCTGAATGGACTAGAAACCCCAGTACATGTGGATCATAGAAAGTAGTGTAAACCTATTATATTTTTGCCATTGTGATAAGTTCCAAGTATGTAACTAATTTAGTAGTTTTGAAAAATTACCAAGAAATGAGAAACACAATTTTACTAAACATATTCCAGTTCATATCAGGTATGCCATAATTCTAAACATTGGAAGTTACTGAGTGCATGACTGTGTTGTTCAAATTAAGCAATAAAGTATATATCTTATTCAGTATTGAAATATGCTGGAACTTGCTGTGGTGCTACTCTGCACAACACACACATACACATACACGTACACGTACACATACATATATTTACACACACACACACACACACACACACACACACACACACACGCACACACACACACACATATATCAGAGGGACAAAAAAGCCCTTAGTGTAGCCAAGAAATTAGATCTATTCCACATGTGTATAAACTTTGCATATGCCAAGCTTTAAGAAGACTGTGTGGAGATACAGAAAAAGAGAGTGGCAAGTTGATAAATAATTAAATAATCATTCAATAAGGCTAAATATGGATAACCAATAACCAATATTACATTTAATCCCTTTCATTCTTGCTACTCTCTCTTCATCAGTTTGGAATGATCTTCGAGAAGGCAGATTGTGATCAGTGGTAAAGTGCTAACTATTTTGTAGTAAATCCATAAGGATTTCTAAAATTTAATAATGAAACCCAATTAAAAAAATCTACACAAAAATAATTTGTTAATAACTTGTTAATCATTACCAACCCTGCCTTGACACCTGTTTGTAAGTGCTAAAGGAAGCAGTTTCTTCCAATTGCTGAACAACTACTAAATGATGTCCAATGCTACAGTTGGGTTAGATTGCCTCAACTATATGAATAGAATCTAGATTTGATCATGCAATACTTCATATTGCAGTATTTGCCTGGTTTCCATCAAGATTCTCCAACTTCCATATTTTACTGGTTTGTAGCTGGTTCTCCTTGGTGGAACTTGGACAATCTTTCACAAGCTGATGACCCAACAGTTCTTGGGAACTGTTTCTCAAAGAAAACTGGGCTGGAAAAGATTGACCTAACAGAGTAAATTGCACCTCCTTGATGTCTACTCATTTTTCCATATATGTACTAATAAAGTTTATATTTGTTTAAACTCAAATATATTTGCCCTGTGGTTTTTTTTACTCTAGAATTTACCTTTGGTGTTGTTGTTTTTTTACTTCCTTATATACATTTGAGACTTGCTTAAACTTATATAGATTATTTTCCCCACAACCTTTTACTTTCAACTGTAAGTTCCACTTTGTAATCCTATTTCATTCTCAGTTAATTTAAATCTGGCTCCCTCCAGACCTAAGCTATCATTATTTTCAAGCACCTATGCCTTCCACTTTGCAAAAATCTTTGCTTTCTCTATGGAAAAGTTGTACTTCCTGAATTCTGAAAAAAGGCTCATTGTTACCTGCTACTCCTGAGACTTAGTCTTAGTTTTTAAATGTGTTGGATTATCATTCCCCAAATTTCCATCCTGTATGGTTCCACAGGTTTAAGATAAAAATATTTTTTTCTTTTCTTGAGGTTTCGAGGTCGCATGGCTTTGGTTGGGCTGCAGCTGCGGGCTGCTGTCCGCTCCTCGGTCTGCAGCCTTTCATGGTCACGGCTGACGGTCAGAAACTATGCTGCCAAAAAAACGGTAGCAAAAGGCAGAATGAAAGGTCTTTCCAAAGAAGAACTGAAAGGCCCTGAAATATGCAAGGACCCAGTTAAGCTCACCACTCATGCTATGGGGGTGAACATCTACAAGGAAGGGATGGACGTAGAGCTGAAGCCGGATTCTGAGTATCCTGAATGGCTTTTCAATATGGACTTGGGCCCCCCTAAGAAGTTAGAAGAACTGGACCCGGACACTATGAAGTACTGGCGTCTGCTCCGGAAAGAGAATACAAAGTTAGCGAAAAAATATTGGAAGACAAAACCATTTTGATGCTAATACTAGGATGTGGAATGGAGGTCATCTCAGGAAGGACTTGGGATATTAGGAAGTGGGATTCTCTCTCTCTCTCTTTTAATTATTTTTATTCTACTCTCTAAATAATGATCAATAAAAGCTCTACTCTCTAAAAAAAAAAAAGATAAAAATATTTTTATTACTAATTAATTAATTAATTAACTATCTAACTCACTAGACCACTTAAACAATCTGAATATCTCATTTCAAAGTGTTTAGACTGATAACATTCTCATTCTCACTGCAATTTCATTTTACCTTTAACAATACTAAAATAATTCATTATTCATAATTAATAATCCAGGCATGTCCAACCCATGGCCAATGATCTACACATAGCCTCCATAAGATCATAAACATTGAACATTATTATGTGATTTATATACATTAACTATATTATATGTTTCATACGGGGCCCAAGACAATTCCTCTCCACTCAGTGTGGCCCAGGCAAGACAAAAGGTTGGACACCCATGGGGTCATTTCATTTGCTTTCATTTTTATCTGGGATAATCAGCAACACTTGTGGGCATATGGCAAAAGGCCATCAATAAACATCATGCCTACTGCTTCATTGCTTAGAGCAGTGAGTACAGATGATTGAATTCTAAAAGGATTGGTTGCTAAGTAAGATAATAAAGAAACAAAATAAATCTCTTTTTATTTTAATAAATTTATTGAGTGTCCATCTTACCACAAGGTAACTCTATATTATAAAGTCATGAATTCTAGGTTCTGCAAAACCACCAAACTTAAATTGATGATAGATAGATTATAGATAGATAGAGGATAGATAGATAGATAGATAGATAGATAGATAGATAGATAGATAGATAGATAGATAGGAGAGAGATAAGCAAACAAGCTGCCCCCCCAAAACTGTTTCACATCAATGAATACCCCCATTGAATTTGGAATAGGTCCAGTAGCCTCCAGAGAAGATAGCATTTTGTGTGACATATGCAAAGTTAGTCCTGAGAAAAAGAATATGTGAATTGCCCTTTCTGATTTTAAACTTGAAGGAGAGAAAAGTTAATAACCCATGATCACCTGAACAGGAAAAGTTCATCAAGACAGAAATAAGAGATACACTGCAACATATCTGATGTCCCTTCTACTCAGATATTTTCAATGATTAAGGACATGTTAGAATGGAGAAGGGGAAAGGGAGAAAACCTATCTTTAGTCACTAATCCTCCTCCTATGGCTTCCCTGTAGAGAGAGATACATTTCATGAAAAGATGCCCGCAATGTTTAAGTTCCAGATTTGAATCACAGGAACAACAACAGCAGCAGCAATAATAATAATAGCAAAAAACTGCACTACTTGGAACATTGTATATTTTAAGAAGATACTTGGTTGATACCTAGGACACTGGTAGCAACCAGTAGCAACCATTAGCACCAATCACAGCTATTTGTGATATATTTTTGAATGTTCAGTTGACTGACTTTCATGTTTAATGAGTAAAGTAAATCATCATCATCATCATCATCATCATCATCATTATCATCATCATCATCATCATCATCATCATCATCATTTTATATTTTCTTTTAAGTGCTTTTGTATTGTTTGGCTAACTCATTCTGTCTCACATGCTCTAGCCACAATACTCTGCTGCAGTTGGTGTCCTTCCACAAGCTGTAGAAAAGAAAATTCCCAGTTTTGGTCAGATTCCATTCAGCAAGTCATTAAATTATTAATCAAATTAGAACAATTTACTTTCAACAAAATAAAAGCTAACCTAATGCCTATTATAAGGGTGTCTCTTAAAACTGCTTCCACATGATATTTTCATGAACCTGGCAATTTAGTGAATGCTTCATCCTCATCAACAAACATCAAAGTTATTATTAACTGTTACCATAATTGTTCCATATAATGAAATATGCTAAATGGTTTTAGAGAAGCATATGAGGATTGTTTGAAGTGCCATTCAAATGGTAAGAAGTAATATATGATTTTTATATATGATGAAATGATATATAGACAGCTACTTTATTCTGAATTAGATCGTGTTTCATCTGACATCTGACTTTTAATTTCTTTGAAGTGTTCTAGTCATCTCACCTCTTGATCTTCCTTTGTGAGCAAAAGCTTCCCATTCTTATTTTTAATAGGAACATCAAGACTGCCACTTGTGTTTGGTAGATTGCAAACAATAAAGTATAATACCTTCATATCACTCTGATCTGCTGCTGCTTTTGCCTTTGTGTTCCATTCACATGTGCTTGTTGGCCCAGCTACTCTGCTTAACCTGAAATCCAGACCTATTTTTGTTGCTATTCTTTCAGTCAATGTCTTTGCCTGATAGCTTTCATGTTGCACAATCCGGCATTGTCAATGAGTTTCCAGATGCCATCTTGAATCCATCATTCTCTCCATAAATCTCGATGTGTCCCTACTGTCATGTTGGCATTGTTGACAATGGCCTGTTTAAAATGTGTTCACTGGTTTTCAATGTCTACCATGATTTGCAATAGCTGTTGAAGTCTGCTGGTCAATTTAAGTTGGAATTGTGCAACAACTGCAGCATCCTTCAACTTCTCAACTGCAAAATGGCATACTGTTTGGCATTGTTGTACTTTAACCTGAGTTGGAGTGACCTCATGATCAGGCAATGGTCTGATTTCACATCTGCACCTCAGTAGGTGCCTACATCAAGCAACTTGAGCTCTACTGCCTACAAATACATATATAGTCAATTTTGCTGCTTATGGAACAATCAGGAGAGTGCCATGTTGCCTTGTGAATGCTCTTACAGGCAAGACAGATGTTCTCAATACATTGACTGTTCATACTACAGGATTAGGTGAGGCATTCACCATTATCATTTATTTAGAGAGCCAAACTGTGTTTGCCATTGACATGTTCTATGCTATATCTGTGTTCATCATTCTGTGCATTCTGGTCTCCGATAACCAATGAAATGCCATGCAATATAGGAATTAGATAATATAGGAATTTATACAGGAATTCCCTAGGAGCAGCAGTCACCAACTGGTGGTCCACAAGAAAATTTGGTGATATGTAGAAAAATTATTTGCATTTTTATATTGCACTAAATACTATTTATCTTTTTTAAAAAATCATATTAGTGGTCCATGGGATTTAAAATTATGAATTTAGTAGTCCCTGGGGTCCAAAAAGTTGGTGAGCCCTGCCTAGCAGTTAAAAAATGAATCTTCCTGAGCTCTTAGAAAGGTCAAGACTGAATCATAAATCTTTATTATGCAAAGCCAGACCTATACTATCCTAGAACTTGACCAAGACGGTCTACTTAGGAAGACCAAAACAATTGAAAATAACTAACATGAAGGATCCATACAAAAATGCTTTAATTGTTCAGGGGAATGACTCATAGTGTACTCTGTCCTTTTCTACTCCAAAGCTGCCACTTTATTTCAGTGCAAAGAACAAAAGTTCAGTTGAGTGACTTTGAGTCATCTTTTTAAAAAGGAATATATATTTAAAAATGTGTTTAAGCATCTGCACGCATGAAAATTCAGTTGTGAGTGGGCAAGGAAGTAAAAGATGAAATGTACATAATATCATTGTGGTGCAAAACTCTGCTTCCAACTTGCATGCAACATCATAGCACAAATACAGAAATGCAGAGCAATGTCACAAAGCTAATTTTATTATTTTGGTACCCTTATGTTAGCTGTAGATACTAACATCCACAGAGTTAAGCAACCCATTTCCTTTCAACCTCCTCCACAACTTTCCCAAAGCCCACATTTTAAAATGTCAAAAAACTCTGTCACAACTTCTCAGTAACTCTCCTATGCTACTAGTAAGCTCTCTGCAGTCGTCTAAGACTGGAAAGAAAATAGCCTAAACCAATTGCTTATCCCTGCTTAAAATTAATATTTACATTAATACTGATTATTTTATCCTATCCAAAGGAGAGTGGGGGATGCTAAATCACATGATACAGTGCAAAACTCTGTTCTTTTGCCCTTGCATGCAAATATGACATATAAGTAGGAAAGGGCTGAGCTTATGTTGACATGACAACACACAGCTTTTAACATCATCATGCCAATCCATCGATCCCTATAAGTAGGACAAGTCTCCCTATTGTGTTCATTTAGCCCATAAAAATGTAAAATGTTAAACAGTGAAATTCTTGGATAAGGCCTGGAATATTGGATGCCTTCAGGGTTGCGATTCTACCGGTTCTGTCCGGTTCTATAGAACCCCTTGTTAACTTTCTAAGCAGTTCAGAGAACCCTTAGTTAGAAGCAGTCTCCTTTTGTTTTTTTCCACCCTTATTACATTCTTGCCAGTTTGCCCAGACTTCCTGTCTCCGGAGCTTCTGAGGCTTAATTCTGTGCTTTGTTTCTTAAAGGGGAAGGATTGTTTTAAGATTTTTACACTGCCTTTGGGAGGAAATACTTCCCTGGACAATCAGCACTTTGAAGAAATAATTGAATCATGAAGCAAAGCTTTTAGTGACAGGGAACCAAGATGAGTGACATTCAGCAAGGCTTCTTGGCTAGCTAGATAAATTGACATTCAAATGTGAGTTTACATACCCTTCTGAGTTTTGGTCTAAAACTGGTTTTTGGTGAAGGTTAATTCTGTGCTTGGTGACATTTAATCCTGTGTTTATTGATGGGATAATTTTCCCTATTCAGCTTCAACAAGCAACGGCTACTGCTATGATTTAATTATTTGTATTGTGTTTGAATTTTTTCCTGCCTCATGGTTTCTTTTTCTATCTGGGGACGGGGTCTTCCTCACTGCTTTAGTACTATCTGGCACTGTCCTTTTGGGGTATACTTCCAAGAGGCAGGATGCAAGCTTGGCACTGATTTTTTAACTGCCTTTCTGGGGGCATGTGACCTTTCCTTAAATCTGGATAATTTCCTTAGGATATCTTATGAGGTGAGTGAGACCAGTTGGTATCTTTAAGTGGTGCAAATGGATCTAAAGATTGCTTTTCCTGGGTATGCTTTTTCTGGAG